TTTTAGCCGAATTGAAAAATTTTTGCACACAATTATAAAATTTGTTTATCCGAAGATAATTCCATGCAAAAAATAACTTTCACTAAATATGTATTATTTTTTATTATTTTATTTAATGATGGTCGGCAAAATTTTGAATAGTTAAGGCATACAAATTTTTGCATCATTTTAAAGAATATATGGAAAATTACAAAATTTGAGCAAAATCAATCTAAAAGTTCTCGAGAAATCGAATTTTAAATATGTGACTTTTTTGAAATTTAAATACTCAGGAACATTTCAACCAATTTTGTATTTTGCCATGTAAAATTATCTTACTTAAAATGATACAAAACATTTTATACTTTACGATTTTAAATTTATAGACCATCATTGAATAAAATAATAATAAATATTAACAAAAATGTATTTTTCTTGCATGGAATTATCTTTGAAATAAGCGAATTTTATAATTGTGTTCAAAAATTTTTCAATTCGCTTGAAAAACTCTTGAGATATGACGAAATACGCAAAAATAAAATTAGCATTAAGGGGTCCAAGCTTTTGAGCTCTCTCCATACCCAAACTGTAGGGATCATAATTCCCAGATTTCGACCTATTCGGATTTTGTCGGTCAGAAATCCGAATAGGTCGAAAAAAAGGTATGTTTATTCATAGAAAGTACATTTTTGTGTCTGATTTCGTAATTTAAAATATCGTCTGCTCTTATTAATTAGCATATTTGAGGTTACTCCCTCTAGTCATTGAGATTGAATCCTAGAACGAGAAAATCCGACAGTCCAAAGATATTTAGAGAGGTCCATGTTTTTTCTTTTCTTCTTTTGTACAACTCTATACAATAGAAACAACAGTTTAATTATAACAACCAAGCAGTTAAGTTGTTTTATTGGTACAAAAAACATTTGCAAGCTTTTGTGCCCAGTTAAGACTTGTACAGCTTTGTCAAGTACAAGTACAGGTAGCTCAGTACAAAGAAAAACAGCACGGAAATTCATCCAAGAGCAACAACGGGATTTGAATCCACTACCTTCTACACATATAGCGTTTGGTGGACAATACCTCGTCACCACGAAGTACCATTAAATTTATTTATTTATTAGTAGTAGTACATCATTTGCTGACTTCTCGCCGTTGTCATGTGGAAGAACAGGTAGCATAAATATAGGTTCAGTTGTCCCATGTACACACACGCCCCACGTCTCAATCCCACATAGTTGCTCACTCACCTCTTAACGATTTAATAGCGAAAGAGTCAGAGTCAGAACACTCATTATTGTTGGCGGCAGCAGGTTATTTAGCATTGCTGTGAGTTAGACTAATATTATATAGATTTATAATTTGATATGGTTCAAGTTTGAGACTTCTATTTTGACTAAAACGAGTATTAGTATATGATACTTTTCGAGTAATCATACAGTCTATTCCCAAGACGTCACTGCGCATTTAATCAATTTAGTTTTCAAAATCATTTAATTTTCAACTGAGTGCGCCCTGCTCAGGGACCGATTAAGACAAATTCAGGCCCAAGGCCCACAAAATTTTCCCGGCCCCTAACAAAATATTTTGAAATTAAATTCCCGAAGAACATAGTCCTAATAATTTCTTTTATATTTCTTCTTCCTAACAATAAAAAGAATCTATTGAACTGCATGATTCAAGAGAAACATTCTAAGAAATTTTGAAAGCAGACAATTAAAGATTATTTTTCTAAGATAAAGTTTACACATCTAAATATTAAAGCAAAATATCAAACAACAAAATACTGTTGTATGAAAATAAAAATAGTTTGATCACAAACAATTGAAATCAGTGATTTTCTATAAAAGTCACGGATTAGCTGAATTGTTTTATAGATTGTAGCCTTCCATCTACAGCTTTACATATTTGTTGAGAATAAGAGTTTAGTTCTTGTTGACACTATGAGAGACTTTGCGAATATGCATGACAAATAAGACTTTCTCGTTGCATTTGCATTGCAAGCTGTTGTAGTAAGAATTGCACCAATTAAAATTCAGCCGTACTTTCGAATTTGATTAGTGCAATGCTTACACGAGTTTGGTTTATCACAATATAAAGAAAATTTGAAATAAAAAATGCCTTTTTTGAGAACAACTGTTTCTTTCAGTAATTTTTTAAAAAAAAGTAATATTGTGACTTTTTACTAATTTTTGAGGCCTAACAGAAAGTGTGGGCCCTAGGCCCGTGCCTATTGGGCCTAGGCGATAATCAGGCCCTGCTTCAACGTGATCAAAGGCAAGTAGCCATCAATGAGATATTTTTTTTCTTTTAAGCGGAAATTGTGTGTAAATATGGGTAAGGATGTGGCAGAGAGGCAAAAAGGGGCGATTGCGTTAGGCCGCACCCCCTGGTCATACGATGAATGAAGTTTGCTGGATTTGTTGGTGTTTCTATGCGGACTGTTAAACGCGTCTATAAGCAGTGGTGTAATACACGTGGTCACGAAAGACGTCGTCAGAATTGTGGTCGAAAAAAGATCCTACATGAAAAAGTTCCGAGACGTGTTTCATGATTTGTCAATGAAAATCGCTTCCAAAGCCAACAGGAATTGCATCAATTAGTGAATGAAGGTCCATCCCAAACTGTTAGTGAGAGAACATTGAGACGGCATGTAATGAACATTTGGAGTCGAACACCTAGTAAGAGGCCATTGATCACGCAGGCACATAAAGTTGCATGACTTCAGTGGGCTAGAAGTCACCGAACGTGGACAGTTGTTGACTGGCGAAATGCAATATGGTCTGACGAATCACGTTTTTGCCTTTATTCAAATGAAGCACGTCGTCGAGTGCTCCGAAGACCAGACGAGGCCTTACATCCTGACAGTGTGCAAGATCAGGTTCAAATCGGAGGTGGAACTGCCATGTTTGGAGGTGTTTTTCATATTATGGAATGGCCTGCCTCTCTGAGGTGGCCTCTAACATGAACTAACATGTTTATTTGAACATTCTGAATGATCAGGTGTTGCCTTTCAGTCAACATCTTCATGAAGAGTATGCTGCTGATACCCCTATTTTTCAAGGTGATAACAGCAAAGTTCATTGGGCTGGAAGAATATGTGACTGGTTTTATGAATACTCAGATACTCAATTACATCTCGACTGGCCTGCAAAATCACCTGACTTGAACCCCATTGAAAATTTGGGGGACAACGGGTAAAACACCTAAATCAGCATCCTCACAATTTGGTGGATTTGAATCCTCAGCGAGTGGCTAAAACTGGATTCGACGTACCTGCAAAACCTTGTTGTCTTACTTTCTAACCGAATCCTGGAATTAAATCAAGAAGTGGTGTTACACGTCATTAAGTTATGTTTTTTATGATTTCTCTAATGGTGACCAATTTTTTGTCCGGTGTGCTTAGTATTGAAATGAGTTAAAAATAAATAAAAAAATGATTTCAAAAATTCGCCATTCATATACTGTAAAATATTCTGGATCAAATTTCGGTATAAAGTGGTATAAAGTACCTACACTTAAGGAGCATTATCCATAAAATCCATTTTACAATAAATTCCTCTTTTACCGTGAAATATTATACCTTAAAATTCACTTTTACCGTAAAATATTATTCCGCAAATTTTATAGTAATACACTGGTGGACAAAATTAAGAGATGGAAAGCATTTTCGCACATTCATTCGCACATGCAAGATACCCGCACACCGCTCCATGTGTTTGACAATGGTTCCGTGAATGCCCAGAGGTACAGGCAGGAGGTCCTAGAGTCCTATGTGCGTCTTTTCATTGGCGCTGTTGACCCTGAGTTCATTTTTATGGACGACAATGCGCGACCACATAGGGCTCTCTTGGATGATGAGNGTTGGCCCTGAGTTCATTTTTATGGACGACAATGTGCGACCACATAGGGCTCTCTTGGTTGATGAGTATCTGGAAAGCGAGGATATTCAACGAATGGATTGGCCAGCCAAATCTACTGACCTGAATCCTATTGAACATGCCTGGGATGCTCATGGGAGAGCTATTGCGATGCGCCAACCTCCCTCCAGAACCATTCTGGAGTTAAAAATTGCTCTGGTGGAAGAATGGGAGGGTCTTTCACAAGTGCTCCTTAACTCCCTTATTAACAGTCATACTCATTGTGCATGCTGTTTGTCTGTCAGGGGTGACCATACCAGAGGCAACACACGCTGTACAAGCCTCGCTTTTATTGTCATCTTTTATCCTTAAGTTCAGACTACATTGGATTTATTGGCAATAGGTCTTGCTAGTGAATGGTACTTTCATTTTTGTTTTGCATACTTTATTATCATGGAATAAGCTATATCCATACCAAATTTCATTTATTTATATTCAGTATTTTTTGAGATATTTGGGAAAATGTTTCCATCTCTTAATTTTGTCCACCAGTGTATTTATTTAATTAGAGATATTCAGTGATTTTACTGTAATTATTACTGAAAAAATTGCGGTATATCAGATTTTTTTGTTCCGCAATATATTCTGGTAAAAATAGATTTTACGGTAAAAATCACTAGTACTTTGAGTGCCGGTATTCTTTAACGTAGTTTGATTTGGAATTTCTTAAAATGTAGTATTGTTTGTTTAATATTATCATTGTTATTCATGGGCTTGTTTACGATCAGTGATTTCGTTCTTTTTAAAGCAGTATATTTGATTTTAATATATCAACATATTTTTTAGGTTGTAAAATTATTCCACAATAATGTTTCGTATGTTAAGCAAAACTCACATGATGATTTTAACACATTTACCATAGACAAAAAGAACGTAGAATTTCGTTATACTGCAAGATTAAGAGAGAATATCATAAAAAAAAATAAGTATTTCCAAAAAGTTGAAATATCTCCAAGCTGGTAGGTCAACTGGCACAAAGTAAATTTCTATAATAATTACCTAAATTATTTTAATAAAAGTACATATAATTCTAAAAAAACAAACAAGAGGGCGCTGATCTCATCTATGAAAGTTGGGGCATCATTTTGACCAAGTGATCTGATTCTGAGAGGGAGAAAAAGATAGCAAGGATCAAATTCGGAATTTACTCAAACAATTATTTTTTTTCCCTATCTACTGGAAGTTCGTGCGTTTTTCTCTTAAAACGATTCCGATTAGATCAAGATTAGATCAGATTGAATTCTGTATCATCGATATTTTTTGTACATGAGATAGTTAGTTATACCTTTTATGCTGTTGCGGTTCACTCAAAAGTGAAGAAGCACAATGATTAACCAGAATACCATGAATCCTAAAAGCGATGTAATGAGAGAAACTTTTGCGGAATTTCTAGGAACTTTCATTCTTGTGGTAAGTTCAACTGTCATTTAATTTTCATAATTTTTAAGAAATACAAAATAATTAATGCATTTTTAATAATTTTTAACAAAACATTTTTAAGATTTTTGAATTTTTTTTTAAAATTTAAATAACGATATCTGCGGCAGCATTGTTGGTATACAGTTAAGAGATTGAAAAAGAGCGACAGGATATTAGAAAAATAAATCTATAATTTTTTTTTACTCATTAATCATAGTTTGAGTTGCAGGTCTTTTTTCAATTCATTTATTATCTGAATAATAAAATATAAAAATGCAGTTAAATTTCACATATTATTGATAAAATATTAAAAAAAAACAGCAACTAAAAATAAAATTACTAAATTCCTTTCATGCCAATGATTTATATTGATTATTAATATTAGTAAACAAATTTTCTTGACTAAATTAAAGCTAGAGAAAAAACAGTTTAAAAATTTCTTTAGATCTTTATTTAGAACTTTAGATTAAATAGAACTTTACAGCATTCTATTTATTTTCAAAGTTTAAACAATTGTAATTTTAGTGAAGTTTTTTCTTTATTTTTTAAAAAAAGGCATGTTTTCCAAAATATTCACTAAAAATCCTTATAAGGTATACGCAACACTTCAAACATTTCCTCTCAACAAAAAAATGCTTTAAAAATTTCAAAATTACATGAAAGTGCTTTGAATTTCAAATTTCCGACTTAAAACAATCATACCAAAACCATATATTTTTTGAAGTTACCGTAGTTTTATGTTACAAATTTAACCTTAATTTCAAAGACTATCGTTAAAAATACAACTTAGTTAAAAATATATAAGACTTTAAACTGAAGATATAAAATTAAAAAAGTAAAATATTTTTATATAATTCGACAGTATGCTCAAATGAAAAGTATTTTCCTATAATTATAAGTTGAAATCAATAAACATTCAAAAGTTAAAGAGCTTTTCTATTAGACTCGAGTAAATAATCGCTTTTTTAACCCCTTAATCATCTTACTATTTTCAAGAAAATGATCATAATAGTGCCTATTTTTTATACGAAAAAAATTATATAAAAAAAGGTAAAATTACATAATTTTAATTTTTTTTTGGCTTGACATATGTACTCCATATTTCCATGTAACTATAAGTACTCCATAATATACACAATTTTTAAGAAATATTTTTATCACAGAACACAAACCAGATGTATTCAGAAAAAACACAATCATCTGAGATAAGAGTACGAAATACATATCAAAAATACACATACAGCCAGACTTCCATTTTCCGAATTTCGCTATTTTGCGATTTTTTTCGAGGAATCAAGAACATTTTGGTGATTTCTTCGTAAAATAACCTCTAAATAGCGAATAAAGAATTTTCTACTTAACGAACTTTTCTTTGAGATCTACTTTCCCTGTTTCCCAAAATATTTCAAAACATTTCAAACTTGTTAACGCATTTTATGGACGAAATAACCTCGAATTGATTTTCGAAGCCATTTCAGTTTTAGAGAAATCAGCAAAATCCCTTTACCTTTTTGTTTGCATTTCAAACGAAAAACTCAGACAAAATTAACGGTTTTTATCAGCAGCAATTAAACTTAAGAACTTGTTTAAGTATGTTTAAAATTACTTCTATAATAAAAGGCAGCTATAATTTCATACATATATTTAGCTTTTTTTAGTTGAAAATGCATGTAACATGATAGTGTAACACTGCATAATGTTTTGCTCTGTTCTTGCTTTCCATGCAGATGTCTTTTATGATTAAGATTGATAAAATGAATATTAATTAGTAGATACTAGTTTACAAGATAAAGTAGTATCAATTGCTATTTTAATTCTGTCTACTGTTCATGAATTAAAATTTTTTTGTGTTGTTTAAGTATTTCAAAAGGTGATATTATATTTAACGAATTTTCCATTTAACGAACTAATTATCAGGATTTAGCAACTTCGTTAAATAGAGGTTCGATTGTATTATAATAATGCTAGTTTAAAAAATAAACTATCTTCTGTCGCATTAAAAAATAGTCTGGTTGAGCATCTAGTGTCTAAATGAAGAAATAAAAAAAAATCCGGGCACAAGAGAGGGATGTATTTAAACCTTTTTGGTACATTACTTTTGAACGTTCTAGCTTGGAAATATCACGAGTACTAGAAATAGGAGACAAAAGCTCACTATCCCTTGATTTTAACGGAAGTAAGAGGAAAAGGGTTAATAGTTATTTTCTATTCGCAAATTCTACATGCTGTTTTGTTTAATAAACTTTTGCCAAAATTTTGAAAAAAAGTTAGTTGAGATTTAGGCAAAATTTCGTGTCTGTAAGTGTATAAAAACGGTGTTTGGAGAAAACGCCAGTTAAGGTTTACGGATGCTTATTTTATCCATACATTTCCAAAAGTGTTAAATCTTACTACTTTTTAAAAGTATCAACTTATTCTTTTAAGAAAAAGTTTTCATGTGTGCATGCTGTCAAAAACGCACACACACAATATATACAACTGATATATTTCCATTTACAATTATTTAAATAATTAAATTTATGATTTTTTTAAAATTTTTTTAAAGGTTTTGGAAAATTTGTTCAGATTATGACATATGCCTTTTAAAAGATTTTTTTTATCTCATTCACCATTTCCCCGATGGTGATTCTCTCTATCATCGGCAGATGGCAGCACAATAATAGTCATTTATAACTAATGAATAATAGGAATGTGTTGATTTATGCTTATCTGAGCTGAGAAGTTTATTTTATACAATTTCATTTAAAGTTTTTAAAAAAATAAAATTCTTCGCAATGGTTTGATTTATCTATAATATGTTATAAATGAAAAAAAAGATTAAAAATGCGCGAATAAGGATGAGAATGATGCTAGCACAATCCCCTTGATCGTTGTGTAAAATAAAGTATCAAATAATTGAGCGAAATAAAAGTATTTTTAATTGAATTTCAGTAATATTTCTATTTTTGCATGCTGCTTTATGATATCCATAATAATAAAGCATCTAAATTCAAAATAATAAAACTCAGATCCTTAGGCCACCAATGCAAGTCAGTCAGGAAAACGAAACTTAAAATCTTTTCCATTTGTCCAGTAAAAGGGTGATTCAAATTTAATTACTCAATGCAATCTTTTTTTCTTCTTCTTTCAATAGAAAAAATTGTTTTAAAAATAGCAACGAAAATTGAAAACGAACACTGTTTATAGGGCTATAAATCTATCACCCGCATTTACGAAACTGACGGTCAAAAAATAATGAAGAATATTTCGACTCGTGGTCAACGTTTCTAAATCGGAGTTTCGGAACTGGGAGTTTCGCCTTAGGTCAGAGCCACACTCCAAGGTTATCCTGATAACCATAACACTAATATTATTCTTCCTCAATCTACTTATTTAAAGGTATTGCATTTTATCATAGGCGAGAGATTTGATTCAGCTGTTGTTTTGACAACAGAACTGAAATCAGCTCGGACTGAAATTAGAGATATAATTATAAATAGCAAAAATAATCAAGATTTCTTTTTTATGTACAGTGAGCAAAATAAAAAAAGCGGATCACCCTGAATAACTTTTAAACTAATGATCGGATCTTTAAGCGCTAGGACTCAATCTTAAAGATTCGAGGGAGTAATTTCAAATATGCTAATTAATCAGTGCAACCGATATTTTAAGTTATGATATCAGGTGCAAAATCGTACTTCCTCTGAATAAACATACTTTTTTCACAAAATAAAAATTGAATTTTTGACCCTCGGAATGTAGGGTTTTAGTCGCAACCTGGGAAATGGGGTCTCAATAGTTTGGTCATGACAGCGGATTAAAGTTTGAACCCCTTATTGTTTATGGAACTCTCTTTTTGCGTATTTCAGCATATCTCGTGAAATTATTAAGCGATTTGAAAAATGCTTGCACACAATTATTAATTTCGTTCTTCCGGGTATAATTCCAGACAAAATATAAATTCTCATAAATATTTATTATTTTATTTAGTAATAGTCGAAAACATTTTGAATCTTAAAACATACAATTTTTTACATCATTTTAAGGAACGTAATTTTAAACCACAAAATACAAAATCTGAGGGAATAGTTTCTGAGAAATGGAATTTTAAAAATAACGCTCTTTTAAAATTCCATTTCTCAGAATTTATTAGTTTCTCAGAATTTGTTTTCGTTCAAATTTGGTAATTCACCATTTAAAATTGCATTCTTTAAAATGACGAAGAAAAAAAAAACTGTATACCTTACAAATGTGTACCTTTTCGGTTGTAATTATATAAAATAATAAATATTTAGTAAAAGTTACATTTTGCATGGAATTGTCCCTGAAAAACGAATTTTAAAATTGCGTGATAAACTTTTTCAATTAAATTAAAAAGTTCTCAATATATGATTACATACGGATAACGGTTAGAGTCTCCTTGCCGTCGGGTTAACCATGGAAGATTTCCGTGATTTTCTTTTTCACATAACGTGAATTTGAACTATTTCCATCAACGGAGGCTAGTTTTTTTTTCCATCGCATGATCTAGGAGTTACCTTATCTTCTTGGTTGGGTTCGAAACTACGAGGCGATTGAACATTGAATGTCGTACACCCAAATGCGGTTCGATTGCTCAACGCCTTTCATTAAATAAAATGACCCATGCCTTTAATCACAATAGATATTTCAAAATCTTTTCATTTCTAGAAGACTTAAATTTTAATTCAGTAACTTGAAAAATCCGAACCATTTAGTTCTATTTTAATAATCAATTACCCGAAATGATGCAAATTCTTTTTAGTTGATATTCGACGATCCAATAAATCGCCAATGGAAAATCAATATGATACACTATGCAACTGAAATAATTGGTTTTCAAACCTTTTCACCTTACGATCTCGTTTAACACTACTCTATTAATTTAACCACAAAGTTGTCGCATTTTCTTTAAATGAAAAAAAAAAAACTCCCCTTTATATAATGGCAGCTAAGAAAAGTATATGACTTTGACGCTATTGCCCAATGTTAAG